AGTGCGTAGGCTAATTTGAGGTACACGACACACCCGGATTTGTGTCTCACTATGAAGACGCTCCGGTATGCCGGCATTAATTAATTACACACGTTGTACGACATTACCTGATGCTGCACAAATACTCCCATTCAGTTTCAACCCACTATATAAACGTTGACTCCCATACACGTCTAATCCTCACCCGAGACCAATGTCCCGGCACGCATGCTTACCGCCTTGCCCTTGACGCACTACGAGAGACCAATGTCCCGGCACGCATGCTTACCGCCTTGCCCTTGACGCACTACGAGAGACCAATGTCCCGGCACGCATGCTTACCGCCTTGCCCTTGCCGCACTACCAGAGACCAATGACCCGGCACGCATGCTTACCGCCTTGCCCTTGCCGCACTACCAGAGACCAATGACCCGGCACGTATGCTTACCGCCTTGCCCTTGACGCACTACCAGAGACCAATGTCCCGGCAAGCATGCTTACCGCCTTGCCCTTGACCGCACTACCAGAGACCAATGTCCCGGCACGCATGCTTACCGCCTTGCCCTTGCCGCACTACTACCAGAGACCAATGTCCCGGCACGCATGCTTACCGCCTTGCCCTTGCCGCACTACCAGAGACCAATGTCCCGTCCCGGGACGCATGCACGCATGCTTTCCGTAAGTCTTGCCCTTGACGCACTACCAGAGACCAATGACCCGGCACGCATGCTTACCGCCTTGCCCTTGACACACTACCAGAGACCAATGTCCCGGCACGCATGCTTACCGCCTTGCCTTACTTGACACACTACCAGAGACCAATGTCCCGGCACGCATGCTTACCGCCTTGCCCTTGATGCACTACCAGAGACCAATGTCCCGGCACGCATGCTTACCGCCTTGCCCTTGACGCACTACCAGAGACCAATGTCCCGGCACGTATGGTGTCAGAGCGAGGCACGGGCGCGATGAATCGTGCCCCATCACTGCCTTGTGGGAGGAATCGTGCCCCATCACTGGTGTCAGTGGGAGGAATCGACCCCATCACTGTCCGTGCCCCATCACGGTGTCAGTGGGAGGAATCGTTACCCCATCACTGGTGTCAGTGGGAGGAATCGTGCACCATACCAGAGACCAGGAATGTCCCCATCACGGCAGTGGGACGTATCATGGTGTCAGTGGGAGGAATCGTTGCCCCATCACTGGTGTCAGTGGGAGGAGGCCCCATCACTGGTGTCAGTGGAGGAATCGTGCCCCATCACTGGTGTCAGTGGGAGGAATCGTGCCCCATCACTGGTGTCAGTGGGAGGAATCGTGCCCCATCACTGGTGTCAGTGGGAGGAATCGTGCCCCATCACTGGTGTCAGTGGGAGGAATCGTGCCCCATCACTGGTGTCAGTGGGAGGAATCGTGCCCCATCACTGGTGTCAGTGGGAGGAATCGTGCCCCATCACTGGTGTCAGTGTCAGTGGTGTCAGAGGAGGAATCGTGCCCCATCACTGGTGTCAGAGCGAGGAATCGTGCCCCATCACTGGTGTCAGAGCGAGGAATCGTGCCCCATCAGGTGGAGCGAGGAATCGTGCCCCATCACTGGTGTCAGAGCGAGGAATCGTGCCCCATCACGAGGAATCGGTGTCAGAGCGAGCGAGGAATCGTGCCCCATCATTGGTGTCAGAGCGAGGAATCGTGCCCCATCATTGGTGTCAGAGCGAGGGTGTCAGAATCGTGCCCCATCATTGGTGTCAGAGCCCAAACCCTATATTTTAACAGGAAAAGTAGGGGGTCGTCTTATACGCCGGAAAATACGGTACTTCTAGTGATCAGACAAACCACCCATACTCATGCTCCCTTCACTCTATTAAACAAAAATAAAATACATCTCCTTTGAAAGCCTCTAGCTCCCGAAAAGATGCAGACACAGTGGGGTTTATTTACTAAAGCTGGAGAGTCCAAAATCAGACTCCCTTCTGCATAGAAACCAATCAGCTTCTAACCTCAGCTTGTTCAATGAAGCTTTGGCAATGAAACCTGGAAGCTGATTGGTTTCTATGCAGAAGGGAGTCTGATTTTGCACTCTCCAGCTTTAGTAAATAAACCCCAGTGCGACCTGATATAAGTGGTAAGTAAAAGACATGTGACTACGGTCATGTGGCTTTTGTTTACCAACAAAGCAAGTGGTAATGAGTTAGTCAAGGTAGGACCTGCTGGCCTATGTTGGCTTACGTTGAAAAACCTTTCCTTTGTGTTTTTTCACATTTTTCTTCTGTAAGGTTTGTTCTTATTGGATTTTTTTTTACTTTTTTGGAGCAAAAAGGATTCAGGTTTTCATGTTATTGCTCACTGTAGCTGCATGTTTATGAGTTAGAGGTTCAGTAGCTCAAAATGTGCAGCTAATTCTGAGTTTGGCACCAGAAACATTTTCCAGGATCATGGTGTTCCCTTACCTGCAATACGGCTCCAGTGCTCTTGTCTGGGCAGCACTCTCGATAGTCTCTCTCCAGCAGGAGAGGCGATGTAAGCCAATGGTCAGGCATGGCGATGTTTGACCCAACAAAAAGTGACACCACAACTGGTGAAGGTGGAAACTCGGCCTCCTTTAGGCTCTGGTGTGCGAGTAATATTTCTGACATTAGAAAAGACTTATCCATGAAGATGATGGTGTCGTTGAAGAAAACAATAATGAGCGGGCTTCTGGTGTGTACATTTTACATGGCCTTGGATCTTGGGAAAAACACATTAGAAATGGGCAATTTGGGTTCAAAACTGGCAACTTGGGTGCAGAGTCCTCCACGGTTATGGCAGCCCAGATGCCAGCAGCTTGCAATCACCGTTCTACCCATGTGTGTATGTCTGATGGCCACTCCATCCTACAGAACCAGGAGCCGCCGTAATTACCATTTCCTATTCACACAATCAATATATGATATTGTGTTTGTCCTATTTATGTATTGGGCGCTCCCTGAATAGAGGTATAGTGTTTATTATTTGCATGGGATTACAACATGTCAGAACACGCCTATGCAAACATGTCTAGCAATGTTAGTTATGATACGGGTCAGGCAGAAGGTAAGAAGCCCAGGTCATGTTACAGATGAGGAGGGAGGGTTTGGACCTCTGCCAGGTTTTTACTGCTGCCTGTGTACCCAATCGATGGAGATTCACACTGACTTCTGGTGTGGCCACTTTGATAGAAGTGGGGGGGGACTACCTCTAAAAGAGAACCCAGCAATGAAAACTAGGGATGCACCTGAATTTTGGCCATCGAAGCATATCGGCCGAAAATAGCCCTTATCGGCACTCTACTGGTAGGAAAAATTTAGCCGATACAGGTGCCAATACAGGGGACTGTGTGTACTGCAGACTGCAGATGTAGGGGGTGGAGGATAAAGGCAGGACAGGATCAATGTATACAGTGACTGGCTGTCACTATAGGTCAGTGCCGGTTTTTAAATGTAATTACCGGCTTTTTTTTCTTCACTTTAGCTAAGAGAATCAACTGTCACTTTCCCCCCAGCTAAAAGAAACAATGTTTCCTTTTAGTTTATTTCCCAATAACAGAAACAAAGTTTCCTTTAGCTCTGGGGAAAGTGACAGCTAATTCTCTGAGCTATAGTGAAGAAAAAAAAAGCCGGCAGTTGCATTTAAAAATCAGCACCGACATATAGCGACAGCCATTCTCTGTATACACTACCCCTCTCCCCCTCCACTGCTCCTCTAACCACCCCCTCCCCCCTACAAAGACAACCTGTCACTCATATGCTAATATATAGGGGCCTATTGGTTCCCTATGTGATAGCAATAAAATCATAAGTTGAAAAAAAAAAAAAAAAAAAAAAAAGAAGATATAAATAAAACACACACGCTCTGCTAAAAACTGATAGAAGTCACAAGTCTGCTCTAACTGCTGATGAGAAAAGGTATTTAGCAGTTTATATTTACTACAATAATTGCATTTCCATGTTGTTTGTACTGTAGGAAACCAGATACAGTGAAAGCAGGGTCCGGGGAGACCGGATATAGTGAACGCAGGGTCCGGGGAGACCGGATATAGTGAACGCAGGGTCCGGGGAGACCGGATATAGTGAACGCAGGGTCCGGGGAGACCGGATATAGTGAACGCAGGGTCCGGGGAGACCGGATACAGTGAACGCAGGGTCCGGGAGACCGGATATAGTGAACGCAGGGTCCGGGGAGACAGTGTGAACAGGGTCCGGGGATATAGTAAATGCAGGGTCCGGGGAGACCGCAGATATAGTGAATGCAGGGTCCTGGGAGACCGATATAGTGTGAATGCAGGGTCCGGGGAGACCGGATATAGTGAATGCAGGGTCCTGGGAGACCGGATCCGGGTCCGGGGAGACCGGATAAGTGAACGCAGGGTCCCGGGCAGGGTCCGGGGAGACCGGATATAGCAGGGTGAGACCGGATGCAGGGTCCGGGGAGAGGGTCCGGGGAGGACCGGATACAGTGAGACCGGGGAGATATAGTGAATGCAGGGTCCGGGGAGACCGGATACAGTGAACGCAGGGTCCGGATACCGGATACAGTGAATGCAGGGTCCGGGGAGACCGGATACAGTGAACGCAGGGTCCGGGGAGACCGGATACAGTGAACGCAGGGTCCGGGGAGACCGGATACAGTGAACGCAGGGTCCGGGGAGACCGGATACAGTGAACGCAGGGTCCGGGGAGACCGGATACAGGGTCCGAACGCAGGAACGCAGGGTCCGGGGTTTAGTAACACTTTAATGTAATGTATAATGGATACATTGTTTGTCTTTCTGGGAGTAAACCTTTTTTTTTTTTCTGGCCAGTGAAAATGTTTCATTTGTTTCCGATTTTAGATTCTGTTTTAGAGGTTTGACACTTTTGGGCTAGTTTACTAAAGCTATGTTTACACTTGTAATTAGGGAGCAAGACAAACAAGTGGTTGAGCCATGTTATTACAGCCCCACCCCAACTGCTCCCCTTAAGCTGCAAATGCAGCAGCCTGGGCGGCTGCAGGTACTTGTGAGGGTCCCCCATTCCTTTGTGTGGGTGGTGCGGCTGCAGGTATTTGTGCGGGTCCTTTATTCCTCTGTGTGGGTGCTGCGGTTGCAGGTATTTGTGCGGGTCCCCCATTCCTCTGTGTGGGTGCTACGGTTGCAGGTATTTGTGGGGGTCCCCCATTCCCCTGTGTGGGTGGTGCGGCTTCAGGTATTTGTGGGGGTCCCCCATTCCCCTGTGTGGGTGCTGCGGCTGCAGGTATTTGTGCGGGTCCCCCATTCCTCTGTGTGGGTGGTGCGGTTGCAGGTATTTGTGCGGGTCCCCCATTCCTCTGTGTGGGTGGTGCGGCTGCAGGTATTTGTGGGGTCCCCCATTCTGCTCTGTGTGGGTGCTACGGTTTGCAGGTATTTGTGCGGGTCCCCCATTCCTCTGTGTGGGTGCTACGGTTGCAGGTATTTGTGGGGGTCCCCCATTCCTCTGTGTGGGTGCTGGCAGGTATTTGTGCGGGTCCCCCATTCCTCTGTGTGGGTGGTGCGGCTGCAGGTATTTGTGGGGTCCCCCATTCCTATGTGTGGGTGGTGCAGGTATTTGTGGGGGTCCCCTATTCCTCTGTGTGGGTGTGCTGCAGCTATTTGTGGGGGGTCCCCCATTCCTCTGTGTGGGTGGTGCGTTGCAGCTATTTGTTGCATTCCTCTGTGTATGGTGCGGTTGCAGGTATTTGTGCGGGTCCCGCAGTGGCACCACCCATACAGATGTGAACCAAGCCTTAAAGAATTGAGAATCTTCACTCAAAAAACTTTATTTATATTCACTTCAATTATCCAATCAGGTTGAAAGTATCTGCACATGACTGGGCATTTAATGTGAATAGAAAATAGCTTTTCACGATTGGATAACAGAAGTGAACATTCATACAATTCTTTCCAGTGAAGATTCTCAACTTCTTTGGTAAATCAGCCTCAGCATCTCATCCTATCACTTAAAAGAGGCCCACAGAGTGTATGCAAAGCCATTACAGGCGTATCTCGGTTTACGAATTTAATTCGTTCTGCGGGACTTTTCATATTTCGAAAAATTCGTAATCCGAAACGCGGTTTCCCATAGGAATGCACTGAAAACCAATTAATCCGTTCCGGAGGTCAGAAAAAAAGTAAAAAAAAAAAAAAAAAAAAAAAAGTTTTATCTGTTCTCTGTATCTCTTTATAAAGTGCACTTTAAAGGCATAAATACTGTACAGGGACGTGACTAAAAAAAAAATTGTAAATGCATTGAAAACCAATGAATTCGTTCATAATGCGAAAAACATTTGTAAACCGAGGCATTATTTTCAATGGATTTTCATTCGTAAACTGAAAATTACATTAAATGAGGCGTTCGTAACCGAGGTACGCCTGTATATAAAAAAAAAAAAAAAAAATTGAATAGAATAGTGAAGGGTCAAAATCCCGTCAATTTGTTGCTATTTTCTGCTGGGTGTATTTCCCTTCACTTCCTGTCTGGAAACACAAAGGAAATTTATAGGAAGTGAGAAGAATTCACCTCTTAAGCTGGCCATCCAGGAATTGAATTTTTAAATGAAAAGAAGGTTCGAAGAAAGTGTGTAATCATTAGTGGGATCATAGTCACAGTTGTTGACTGCAGTGACAAGAAAAGCTGAAGGAGCAAGGATGGGAAATTTTTCTTCAAGAAAGGAATTTCTATCAGTTTATCGCACGGTAAAGCGTATTCATTCCAAAATCAGATGTTAAAGGAAAAGTTCACCTTTGGGAACAAGTTACATGTTCCCATAGCCGCCACCATGCCCTGCTGCCCCCCTTCCCTCTGACAGATAGTGCGGGGAACCCTTCCTCCCCCCGTGCCAGAGAAACCCTTCCCTCCCGCCGTGCCAGAGAAACCCTTCCTCCTCCCGCCGTGCCCGAGAAAGAAACCCTTCCCCCTCCCGCCGTCCCCCCCCCGCTGGCCCGACAAACTCTTCCTCCCCCCCCCCCGTGTGCCCGAGAAACCCTTCCTCCTCCCGCCGTGCCCCGAGAAACCCCCTTCCTCCTCCCCCGTGCCCGAGAAACCCTTCCTCCCCCCCCCCCGAGAAACGCTGGACAAACCCTTCCTCCCCCCCCTGTGCCCGAGAAACCCTTCCTCCCCCCTGTTGCCCCCCGCGCTGGACAAACCCTTCCTCCCCCCCGCGCTGGACAAACCCTTCCTCCCCCCGCGCTGGACAAAACCCTTCCTCCTCCCCCCCCCGTGCCCGAGAAACCCTTCCCCCCCCCCCAAACCCTTCCTCCCCCCCCGTGCCGAAAAACCCTTCCTCCCCCCCGTGCCCGAGAAACCCTTCCTCCCCCCGTGCCCGAGAAAACCCTTCCTCCCCCCCCGCTGGACAAACCCTTCCCCCCCCCCGTGCCTTCCTCCCCCCGTGCCGAGAAAACGCTTCTCTCCCGTACTGTCAGATTTGAAAACTGCGTGGCCGTACGGGGCTCCGCCCACACAGCTGCGTCACTCATTCACAGAGTTCAGCATGGCATCAGCAATCTACTGATCGCTGGTGCAATGCTTTGCAGACTCCATTGGACAAAAATAATAAATGCACATTCATTATTTTTATCCAAAAGGTGAACTTATCCTTAAGGGCCGATTCACGCTATAGAAACGCAGTCCAGATGTGTTCTGGATACATTTCTGCATGCACAGTTTTGATGTGTTTTTGGTGCGTTCTGCTTCATTTTTCCCTCTCTTCAATTTAAATAGTGCGTTCCGGTGCATTTTTTTTATGCGTTTTACCACGTTCCAGTACAGTTCTGTGCAGGAAAATTGCAACGTGTTTTACTGTTTTTTCTTCTGCATCTGGAACGCACTACAACTGCAAGCACTGATGTAAACTATGACATTGACAATCATAGACTCTAAATGTAAATAATAAAAGTGCAGCGCTCAAAATGGATTAAAGGCAGTATAAAGTCAATGCGATATCCGCGGTGCTGTCTGGATTTGAAGAAAGCTTCCAGAATTTTACTGCTTCAAATAATAGCAATGCGCACTCACCAGAAACACATGGATTATGAGCATGTAGGAATAATCATCCCAGACGTCATATCCATCGAAGCCAGGTGGTGGGCATCCCTCTCACGGTGGGTCATCAAGGACTCCAAATCAGGTCCAGAGGTCCCCTTAAGGTCAGTCAGGTAATCCACACTGATGGTAATGATCCCTCCTCTGGATGGTATAGGCACCTTCTCTGTGGTGGTAATAGCTCCACATAGGAGCCACAGAAAACAGGTGCCAGAGATAGTGTAGTATGTTCTTGGATGAATTTTATTGGTCAATAACAGAACAGGGCAGTATGCACATCACAAAAACTATTAAAAGTGAAAAACAGCAGTACTGACCCCAATAAAGATGGCCCTCCAAAGGAGGGATCATTACCATCAGTGTGGATTACCTGACTGACCTTAAGGGGACCTCTGGACCTGATTTGGAGTCCTTGATGACCCACCGTGAGAGGGATGCCCACCACCTGGCTTCGATGGATCTGACATCTGGGATGATTATTCCTACATGCGCATAATCCATGCGTTTCTGGTGAGTGCGCATTGCTATTATTTGAAGCAGTAAAATTCTGGAAGCTTTCTTCAAATCCAGACAGCACCGCAGATATCGCATTGACTTTATACTGCCTTTAATCCATTTTGAGCACTGCACTTTTATTATTTACATTTATATATACATATTTTAAAGGTATTGTGGCTACTTGGAGTGTTCAAGCTGCTGCATTTATTTAAGAGCGCTCACTACAATTTGTTTTAAAATCACAGAATCTACTTTCTGTGCATTTTTGACGCAGAAAACAAAAAAAAAAAAGCACACAAACACATGTAGTGTGAAGTGGCCCTTAAGGTTTCACACTACAGAAATGCAGTCCAGATGCATTACGGATGCGTTTCTGCATGCGTGTTTTTTACGCATCTTGGTACATTTTTTCCTCTCTCTTTCTAGAATTTAAATAGGGACGTGCATTCCGGTGCGCTTTACCACGTTCTGTTCTGTACAGGAAAAATGCACCATGCTCTACGTTTTTTTTCTGCATCCAGAACGCAATGGAACTGCAAGCACTGATGAGAACTATGACACTGACAAACATATAATCTACTTTCTGTGTATTTTGGATGCCGACAAAAAGCACACAAATTCATGTAGTATGAACTGGCCCTTAAAAGAAAACAAATACTTTGGAAAAATATTCAAACATTCTGAGAATTTTTGTACATATTTTACTAAAATTTTTCCTAAGAATTTTCATTCGAAATTCTATCCATCTACAGTATGGTCAGCTTTAGACAGTTGTCATCAGAACAGGTGTCCCCATTGGAAGGTTTACCTTCACCTCCTGTTCTGGTGACACCTTTCTAGTGATCTGTTGCTAGGACGCAGGTGGCTTCTGATTACACACTATTGATAAAACGAAGCCACTAAGCCACGGGCGGACTGACCATTCGAGCACTCGGGCACTGCCCGAGGGCCCAGGGTCAGAAGGGGGCCCCATGAAATTCCCCTGGTACCTTTTTTATAGGCTTTTTTGGGTGTGCGTTGAGTGTGGGCAAGGACACAGGGGCCCCATGATCCCCTATTGCCCGGGGGCCCCATGAGTTGTCAGTCCGCCCCTGCACCAAGCATCCTTCTGTAGTCAGGGTTTCTGCCACCCAGTATCCTTTTGCTGCTAGGACCCAGGCGGCTTCAGCTTCTGCCACCTAGTGTCCTTCTACTGCTTGGATGCAAGCGGCATCTGCTGTCCACCATCCATCTGTGGCTAGGACACCGGCAACTTCAGCTCCTGCTGCCTAGTGTCCTTTTGTTGGTAGTACACAGGCAGCTTCTGTTTCCTAGTGTCCTTCTGTTGCTAGAATGCAATCGGCTTCTGTAAACTAGTGTCCTTCTGTTGCTAGGATGCAAACAAATTCAGTATCTGCTGCCCAGTTTCCTTCTGTTGGTAGGACACTCCTTCTGTTGCTAGGATGCAAGCAACCTCTGCCAGCTTCTGCTGCCTAGTGCTCTTATGTTGATAGGACGCAAGTGCCTTTGCCTTCTGCCACTTAGTATCCTTCTGTTGGGTAGGATGTAAGAGGTTTCTGCCACCTAGTATCCGTCTGTTGCTAGGATGCAGACAGCATCTGCCACCTAGTATCCATTGGTTGCTAGGAGGCAGATGGCATCTGCCGCCTACCATCCTTTTGTTGCTAGGACACAGTTGGCGTCTGCTGCCTAGTGTTATCCTGTTGCCAGGATGCAGGTGCCTTTGGCTTCTGCCACCTAGTGTCCTTCTGTTGCTAGGATGGAAGCGGTTCCTGCCACCTATTCTTCTGTTGCCAAGATACAGGTGGCTTTACGACCTAGTATCCCTTTGTTGCTAGGACGCAGTTGGCTTTGACTTCTGCCTCCTAGTGTCCTATTTTTAGGATGCAGGTGGCTTCTCCCATCTAGTGTTCTTCTGCTGCTAGGATACAAGCGACTTCTGTCACCCACCTAGTGTCCTTCTGTTGCTAGGATGCAGACCACATCTTCCATCTTGTGTCCTTTG